TCCCATCTTACACCAGACCTTGGATTAATAAAATATTGTGATTTGTATAATTGGAAAACACTCAGACTATTACATTCCGAACTCGATCTAAGTTTGATAACATTGGAACATTTTCTCTGCCAATGCCCAGCGTTTGCAAATATCAGATTCCATTCTTAGGAAACGACTCCATACCAGAACTTATCAGACCATGGTAAATGATATAAGACATAAAAGCAACTGAATTTCAAATATAAAAGACTGTAAACTGTCCGTCTTCTTCAAAATAAAACCTTAGTCTAGAGCACAGAACCGGCCTATACTGCCTTAGTGTATGCCCAACAGGGCATATTTTTCAACCTTACCTAACCTAAGTTTGATAACAATATTACGATGTACCAATTTTGACAAATCGGATACTCCCTTCGAGAGTTATCGTGCGCACCAGCCGACAGACAGGCGACGGACCATCGCCAATTGACTCCGAATGCCCTGAAACAGATTTGGTCCAAAGAGACCTGGAATGGAATATCTAAATTTGAAAAGTCTGACTCTTATTTCCTTGATTGAGTGGACTGATAGTGTTAATTTTCGCACCTGAACTGACCTCAGAGACTGTGGAACATTGTCGCAATCATTCGCTTTTTATGTAGCTTAGAAGAATATTAGGTAATTTAATGCGAAGAAATCAAAGCTCTAAAAATATATGGGCTGAGTGGCGCCCAACGTTCTGAAAGCTCAATATGTTCGATTGTATAGAAAATAGATTAACGAATGAAAATTATTCAGATTCCAGAATGTGAAACTCTCTTCCTTTTTTGTGCTCGGAATTACATCAAATTTTGTCTAACTTTATCTACTCATTTCGTTCGGCATTCTTTCAGACCCAATGTATTGAATATGAAAATAGTAAATCTATAGAAAAATGTACGCCCCCATTGTAAGATTGTAGGGGTGAGATAATATGGAAGCGAGCGATAAAAAAAAGTTATCGCAAAGGTCAGACCTCTTTAGGGAGTGTAAAGAATCATCATTTGGAAATGCTTGGAAACCTTGCGCGAAATACTCTTCCTTTATATGTTCGAAATAGCAACCAAATTTGGCTAACTCTAACTTTTGAGGTTTATAAATCTGCTTTTATTAAGTCTAGAATTACGTGGCGGCCAAATGTTTTCGATTATACTTATTGTAAATCAGTATGCTAAATAACGCCGCTTTTAAATTTTTTGTGTGGCGAACAAATGTTTTCGAACCTGCTGATTGTAAATCTGTACCTAAAAGTAAGCTCCCTAAAATGAGTTTATGCGGCGCCCAACAGTTTTCATTTTATATCTGTATATAAAATTTAAGCCCCTTGTACGGAAAGTGAGGCAATTATTACCCCACTACAAGTTGTGGGCAAGACGTCTTTAGGGAGAGTAGAGGAGATATTCGAGTTATGGTCTTTTTACCTGTAGTTTATTAATTATATACAGGGTGAGATAAAAACTGCAACAAAATCAAATGCCATAATTTTTACTTTTTAAAAAAAAATTATTGATTGAAAGCAAAAAATGTCGAAAATAGCATCAAATTTAAGAATAAGTTTAGATTTGTTCGAATTGGTTACCTTTGACACGAATTATGGCCTTCAAACGGCCAATGAAACAGCCACACGCTGTCCGAATGTTGCTCTGCGGTATTTTGGCCCATTCCCGGGCGAAGCGCTTGCTTGAGGTGATCGACACTTTGGTATTTTTAGAGCCAACCTTGTGTTCCAAAATACTCCAGACACAATAGTCCAACGGATTGGTATCCGGAGACTTTGTTGGCCATTGTTGCGCAGGAAATAAAGCGAGGAACAATTTTTTATTATTTTTTTTTTTTTTTTGTAACCATTTTTGGGTGGCCTGTTGGAATGTCCATGGAGTCCTGCTGGAAGTCCATGGTCTGCAGCCAAAATGATTGCGTACCCAAGGCTTTAATACAACCTCCAAAATATTTTGCGATAATATTCGGCATTTATTCTGATGCAACGGTCGATTAATACGAGCGGAGAGCGACCATCGGCTGTTATGGCGGCCCACACCATCATCATGGCCGGCGCTTGAGTTCTGGTGGCCAACCGAAAGTGCACATTTTCAGCTGACCTCGTTTTTTTTACAAACTGCTGGACAACGAATGTTTTCTCATCGTAAAAAACCCGATTCGGCAGTTCACCAATTTCGGCCAAGCAAAGCAACACTTTAGCTCTTTTGAGTCTATTTTCTTTCTGTTGCGGTGAACTGTTCTTGCACTTTTTGGAATTTCAATGGCTTTAACCCGAGCTCATTTTTAATATTTGCCGAATGGAATGCTGCGATATGTTCAGCTCACAAGCCATTTTTCGGCCACTGCGACGCGGGTTACAATCAAGTCGCTTCTTTACTTTTCGAACCAAATCTGCTGATGTTGCTGTTTTCTTCCGTCCACTTCCTTGACGTCGGGCTACGCTATCGTTATCACGGTAACGAACGATGGTACGAGACACAAAAGATTCATTCACATTTAAATGCTGGAGTGAGGAGCTCTAACGATATCCACTTGTGGTTTTCCAGCCAAATATAAAGAAATCGCACGAATATCACGCTTGAATTCCATCACGAATAACACTTTTTTCTGGAAAATTCTCACGAAAATGCTTTTGTAGGCTTGTAACAATATAATGAGCTGTCACTGGAATATTTTTAACAGCTGTCGGACGAGTGGCTTAGAAATGACAGCAGTCTGAAGATGATTGCAGTTTTTTCATCTCACCCTGTAAAGTTAAGCTCCCTAAAATGGTTCTATGTGGCGCCCAACACTTTTCATTTTAAATCTGTCTATAAAATTTGGCCCCCATGTAATATTGTACAAGAGTGATAAACGTGAAAACGAGGCACTTATTACATGAGGCACTACAAGCTGTGGGAAAGATTTCTTTAGGGAGAGTAAAGAAGTTATTCGCCGTTTTAAAGGAATTGAAAAGATTGACTTCAAACAATAAAGATATGGTATTTTTGCCTTAGTTTGTCAAGTAAATGCTTCATTTTAATTCAGCTTAATTTAGCATAGCAGATCTAGGCTATTATTTTGGCATCCTGGCAACTCCCGCCCTTAGATCCATATAAATCTAAATTAAGTGCCCAGACGTTTCTGCCGGGAATGCTTGAGGCTCAGGCAAGATTATATAGAAGGAATAAATCAAAAGTCTTGCGGTAACGCCAAAGAATTCATAAATATTAGATTTAAAGACGTACTTCATGTGAATTAATGCAAAATTCGCCTATAAAGCATCATTTTTGAAGTATAACGTCAAAGGCAAAAATATTCTTCATCAATTTTACTATAAGTCACCAACGAGACCAAATCTCTATTTCAATTATATATCACGAAAAAAACTTATATCAATATTGTCAGAAAAAAAGTTAAAAATTTGCCAATTTTTAATAAATTTTTCCTTTTCCATTTTTCGAGTTGCGACATAAAAGTAACATAAAACTTCGTTTTAGACAGAAAATGTCAAGGGGGGAAATATTCTACACCAAATTTCACTATCAATCTCAGAATAAACTATATATCTAGCTATAATAGTTTTTAAGAAATTGCATTCGAAATTTATACATTACCAATGGAAATTATTTGCCCACGTTTTTTACTACTAAATTAACATGTTTCCATTCCATGTCAAAATCTCCCTTAAAACTTCATATTTTGGGGAAAGTGTCAAAGGAAGAATTATTCTGTATCAAATTTTAGTATGAGTCTCAGAACAGAAGAAATGTGTAAACTTAATAGGTACCACGAAAAAAATCGTAAATGCTGGAATTTTCTAAAGGTCAAAAGAAAAACATAGAAGGAATTTCTTTCTGGCTTTTGTCATCGGCTAGCTTTTTTCGTAAAGGAACAGTTGAATAAGGGTTTAATAGTTTAAATTACGGACCGAAATCGAACTAAGTTAACCTAGAATTCATTCCTTCTTTCACATTTTTTAAAGCTTTATTGCAGTATCCTTCCCTTTTTCCGATTTTTTTCCAGTTCTAAAACAATTCATCTAATTCGGCTCAATAAAGTCCATTCTTCGAAGCTCACAAATTTTATGGGTTACGAAATCACATTTTAATCCAAGTTTATGCTTTAATAACTGTTAAGAATTGTGATTTAAGAAATCAATAGAAGGTATTTTATCCTGGCTAGTCTAAAACCCTTTGAATAATTATACAATACATTTTTTTTAACATTCAGTGTATAAATTGTACCACACCATACCGGGCGTCCTTGCTTACCCTCTCATGTTCTCTGGTTGAACAAATTTCCCTGATATTATAAAACAATAACATTGCCATACTGGCGTATACGTTGTGACGGAAGTTATACGACCTAGTGTGCTGAAGAAATTAATATCTCAAAATTCATATTCCAGTTCCACATTACTCATAATTTTATACATATGTAAAGTCATATGTCATTTTGTGACTCCGTCATATAAATTCCAACAAATTCAAAAAATAAAACATCCATGATATTTTAGTTTTGTGTGAAAAATCCATAAAAAATATACCCCTATATTTTATAAAACCCAACACAAAGCCACATACGGACAGTTTTAAATAACTAAGAAATTTTTGTTTTGTTTTTTTTTTTTTTTTTTTAAATTAAAACTTTTTTACTCTGCACACACTTTCCACTGATCGGTTCTCATTGGCAATTTGTTTTAATTTCCCATTTTTTTCTGTTTTTTATTTTCTTATTTTGCAGGGGCATCTTCAATATTATTACAATTACTAAAATTATTTCACACATTTTCAATTTTTGCTAACTTCAGAATATTTGTTGATTGTCCTTGTCAATTGTGTTTTTTTTTAATTTTTAATAAAAAAAAACTACCCATCCTCCCCCAAAAGGCATATTTTAGGTTTTTTCTTGTTGTGGACTTTACTCCTCTGTTGATACTCTCTTCCCTCATTACCTTTGCATTTTTATTAAAAATTCATTTTCAAATGTTCTTTACATTCCCTCAACACTTTAAAACCAACCAACCAACAGAACAACATGGACTTTGGCAGCCAAGGGCCAACACCAATGATATCGGGACGTCGTCTACTGGTGAAAATCGTCAAGGGAGAAGGTTTGAAGGATGCTCGTGATCCCTATGTGGTTGTGGAAATGGATGAGCCACCGCAAAAGAATCAAACTGGTGCCCGCCAGGGCAATCAACCCTATTGGGATGAACATTTCTTATTGTAAGTGAAATTTTTATATTAAATTTTGATACAATAACTTCATTTGAATTTTCTTTAGCGATTTGTCACCACAATCTGCCGAGATCCTCTTCGAAGTCTATGATCGTCCTGCCGATGCCACAGCAGCTCCCAAGTTTTGGGCCTGGGTCTGGTGGGCATTGATGAGCTGGCCGTAGGTCCAGCCTCAACGCAAGTCTTAGCCTTGCAGCCACGTCCCTATGAAACACAACAGGTCTCCGGTTCCATAACCGTGGACTTTGTGTTCATTGAAGGTGCCGAAATACCTGCCGGCCCCAGACCATACAAACTGAAAGAAGCCTTGCACATTAGTACGCCGAGCATCAATGAACACATGAAGAACGGCTCGAATTTGGCCGATGCTGCTGTACGTGCCTTACAGGAGGGTGCACTGAACACCAACGGCCAGCCCAGCAAGAGTACACTGATCATACATAGTGTTCAGAGGGTAAGTTGAGGGGGATGTGGGGGACGAAAGAACAACATTAGTTGAAAAAATTGTCAAATGTTAGATAAAAGATCGATAAAATATTATTAAATAGTTAGTTTAAAGGAAGTGTAGATTAGCGGGAAATTTTTGAATACAACGGTGCATCAAAATACATTTTTTTAAATATTCCAGGAAAAACTCAGTAGGTTTTGTAAGTAGAGCTAAAAAGAAAAAAAGTACCAAAGTATATTTACCAAGTTGTAACGAAACGTTGACTTGTTTGCCAAGATATGACAGACAAAAGTATTGAAAATTGTGACCACTTGTGGGTGAGGTACCAGAAGGACTTCGAAGATATATATCATTTTCACAAAAGATCTTGCGTTAGCAAAATGTTTGTATCTGCGAAATTTTAAGAGAGTTGGATGCTTATTTCGCCTTCTTTGGACGTTTTGTTTTTCAAAATCTTGAACCCTATATGGGGAGGTACCAGAAGAAATGGTCCTATCTCTACCATCCTTATAAAAGACCTTGTGTTGATAAAAAATATTGAGATGTGCCAAGTCTGAATGGACTCGGATGTTAAGAGACCCTTTTGGAGAAGTTGCCAGAAGGAGTGGACCGATATATCCCACCTTCACACCAGATCTTGTGTTAGTAGAAATAATGGGATGTGTGAATATGAAGAGAACCGGATGCTTATTTCTGATTTAATAATCGTTTTGGTTATTTAAAACTTTGACCCTTTGTTGGGAAGGACCTAGAAGGAGTGCACCGATATATAAAAAAGGAAAAATTCCAGTTATTTATACCCTCAGCCATATGGCTACAGAGGGTATACAGGGTGAGATAAGAAAAACTGCAACAATTTCTTTTAAGTTTTATTGAATAAAAGCAAAAAATGTCGGAAATAGCATCAAATTTGAAAATAAGTTTAGATTTGTTCGAATTGGTTACTTTTGGCACTAATAATGGCCTTCAAATTGCGAATAAAACCGTCACACGCTGCCCGAATGTTGCTCTGCGGTATTTTGGCCAATTCCCGGCGAAGCGTTTGCTTGAGGTGATCGACACTTTGGTATTTTTAGTCCCAATCTTGCTTTCCAAAATACTCCAGACACAAAGTCGGATGCGGATATTTGGTGACTATTGTTCATTTTGTAATCATTCGTGGGAGGCGCGTTTTGAGTGCGATGGTGCTGAGAAGGTCCAAGGTCTGCGGCCAAAATGTTTGCGTGCCCAAGGCTTTAATACACCCTCCAGAATATTTTCGCGATAATATTTGGCATTTATTCTGATGCCACGATCGATTAATACGAGAGGAGAGCGACCATCGGCGGTAATGGCGGCCCACACTATCACCATGGCCGGTGCTTGAGTTCTGGTGGCCAGCCGAAGGTGCACATTTTCAGCTGACCTCTTTGGCAAGTAAACACGATCATTTTGTTTGTTTACAAACTGCTGGACAAGGAATGGTTTCTCATCGGAGAAACCCAAATTCGGCAGTTCACCACTTTCGGCCAAGCGAAGCAACTCATTATCTCTTTTGAGTCTATTTTCTTTCTGTTACGGTGTAAGTTCTTCCACTTTTTGGAATTTCAGTGGCTTTTTCAATATTTGCCGAATGGAATACTGCGATATGTTCAGCTCACGAGCCATTTTTCGACGCGAGTTTCGATCAAGTAGCTTCTTTACTTTTCGAACCATTTCTGCTGATGTTGCTGTTTGTTGTTCCGTCTACTTCCTTGACGTCGGGCTACGCTACTAGTATCACGGTAACGAGCGATGGCACTCGACACAAAAGATTTATTCACAATTAAATGCTGGAAAGCTCTAACGATAGTAACTTGTGGTTTTCCAGCCAAATATAAAAACACACTATCACGCTTGAATTCCATCACGAATAACTTTTTTCCTGGAAAATTCTCACCGAAATGCTTTTGAACGCTTGTAAACAATATAATGAGCTGTCACTGGAATAATTTTAACAGCTGTTGGACGTGTGGCTTAGAAATGACAGCAGTCTGAAACTGATTGCAGTTTTTTCATCTCACCCTGTATTGATCCAAGTTTATGTATAGTACCTGTCATGCGCGTGTGTGCGTCACATTTTTCATCCAATTTGTATCCAAGTTGGTGTTCGTAATGGCGACCATCTCCCCTGACAAAAAATTGCTTATACAAGTCTTCATTTTCGTCTACCTACCACCGTACCTCCCGATATTTTGGTATTTTGATGATTTGAGCGACATTATTCACCGGAATTGCTTCAAATTTGAAGTTGGTAATAGATACTACAGCCTACGACAGAAAATTGTGTATGCAGATCCACGTTTTGTTAAGCCCGTATAATAGTACCTCCTTATATTCGGTATTTTGATTTTTTTTTTTTTTTGCTGATGCAGGTCCATGTAATCGTATAGACCCTAATATAACGGCTACATTCGGTATTTGAAAAAATTGAAAAATGCCAAATTCGTTCCAAGTGGTGGCCCGGCCGCATTTGAATATTGTAATGGCTTATGACAAAATTGCCTATGTAGGTCCACGTCTTCGTATAGACCCTAATATAACGGCTACAATCGGTATTTTGTAAGTGTAATTATTACACCTGATATTCGAAATTTTAAAAAATTTAGCGGCATCTTTCACCGGGTCTTTTTTACCTTTTTAAAGGTCCATCCAACTGGTTGAACGCATTGAAGGTTCGGCCTGCCCGAACTTAGCTGTTTGTTTACTTGTTTAGCTCTAGTTTTATAATCTACTGGGTTTTTCTTGTAATAACATAAAAAGTAGAATTTTGTCGCACAGTGTTATAGAGGGTCAGATCGGCCAAACCATAATTTGTTCGAGTGGAAGATTTACCGACCATTATTTGGCTTTTATGGACTTCCTAAATGTATCTGCCTTTTAAAACGTCCTATAGACTTCAGCTGAATATCTTTAAAAAATCCTGTTAAGGAATTTTATTTACATCCTCGTCTACGTTAGAGTATAGACCACTCAAAAGACATATGGTTAAGAAAAAAAATTAATTTTTAAGCAAAAATATAGTGTTCAACCTATAATATTGAAAAATGTTGTTAAGAACTGTTAATAAATGCTATTTATTTTCAAATGGTTATGTAAACTGTGTCTCAATTTGAAAGAAACAAAAATGCTTTTATCGATCTTCCACCATAATGGTTATCATACATATATTGCTTATTTGATTATAATTGGTCTAATTTTATTTCAATATTGGTTATTTTTTTATTTGAAAACAATTTTTTTCATATTTATTTTCATGGTTATTTTCTGCATTCTGCACCTGCCGTCCACCTGCCACCAAAAAAAATACCTCCCTGACAACTGCTCATGATATCAAAATCATTGTCCCCACTCTATCATCGTAATTGCACAATCATTGGAACAGAATTCAAGCAATCCAAATGCATTTAAGGTAATTTCTATAAATCTGCCACAAAAAAAAACCTCATAACAACGCTCATAACATATTTTAGTTTTGAAAAAAGTTTCGTTATTCGTTTTGAGTTCTTTTAGTTTGTTACTCAAAAAATTGAATTTAACTTGAGTTGCATTCACTTATTCATCTACTGGACACAGAATGAAATAAGATGAAAAGAGTTAAATTTTCTATCTTTAGTTTAGTTCGTTAATAACCCCCAAAAAATGCATTAAATATTTTTTAGAATAGAATTTGTTGAAATGCTAACCATCGAAACCATTCTCTTTCATGGCCTGTATTTACATTTGTAAAAATCTCAAATCTCAAACTGTTATGTGTGCGTGTGCGTCTCGATACCATACATTTACGTTACGTTACGTTACCTCATACTCTGCGCTTCTATTAACCCCGCTTAAAATTAAAACACAAAAACAAAAAGGTCGAAGTCAACAAAGATGGACAAATCGAAGTTAAAGAATCTCAAGATGTATTAAATGCCGCCGTCTCAAAGGCCTTGGAAAGCCCTGGACAGGAGGCGACAAACGACTCGATTCTGCCAATCGATAGCCTAGAGAATATTGAACAAATAACACAGGATACATCGGTGACCACAGATATAACTGCAAGTCCCACCGATTCGTATCCCCAAACTGAGTGCCTAAATGAAAAACCGTCCCTAGATAATACCACAGGTAACGATAGTGCTTTGGGAGATTCCACCACAGAGGTAAGTCCGTGTGCCATCCACGTAAGTTGGAACTTTGTTCAAGTTCTCATTTATTGTGTTTTACTAAAACGAAAAGCATGAAGTTCCTTTTGAAGCTTTGGCTTTTTTTTCGCCTCCAGCCTCCATTGTATATTTGTTCTCTAACTATTTCATGTCTACCCTCTGTTTAGTACGGTCAACCGAATGCTGCCTCCTCGCCAAATGGTCACAACAACTATCAACAGAATGGTGCCTCCATGGCTGGCTATTCACCTGCTAGCAACAATAACAACAACAACAACTCGTATTCGAATAACGGCTATTCCAGCAACAGTTTACCTCGCAATGGTGTCATGACACAACAACCCCTGTCATCACCGCCCACATCCGATCTGGACGATCGTGGCCGCAGTAAGAAACGCAATTTCTTTGGTACTTTGAAAAAACGTTTAAGCCGTTCCAAGACACGCACCCATTCGGCCGATCAACAACAACAACATCAATCAAATCAAACAACAACCCCAACAGGAACACTCAATGGTGATTCACGTTCATTATCTGTCGATCGTGCTGTTTTGTCCAAAAGCAATTCACTTGGTAATTACCTATGTTCCACACCATCCCCCAAAGAAAACACCCATCCACCCAACCACTGTCACCTTCATTCGCCAACCCCCGTCACCCTCTTTCTATTGTAGAATGCGCCACCATGTTTTTGTTTTATTTTTTTCACCCATCAATTGTTATTAGATCTTTTGCGATTTATCTTGATCTAAGAGAGAGCAAGAGTATAGTGGTCTTCCAGATAACGTTCCCAGTAAATATTACTCAGTAACTTGTGCTCAGAGAACTTACTCTCTCACATGCAAATATATCAATGTTATTGAACCACAAACTCTCAAACTCTCTATTGAAAATTCTCTTCTCATTCTCTCTCATTTTACTGGACTTTTGGATTATCAAATAATGTTTGTACAAATTATTACAAATTATTGAGTTATCGTGCTATTGTTCAAATTTTTACTTGAACACTGTTACCGGACTCGAAAAAAAAAAAAAACTAGAAAAAATAAACATTTCAAGAGAATAAGTAAAAAATAAAGTAAGTTCGGCCGGGCCAAACGTTTAATACCATTCACCATTTTAAAGGACCTTGAAAATTCTAAAAACTTCCGTAGTGGGGGCTGTACAAAGACTTGTTCCTCATTCATACGTAATTTTTTGTCATATCCTATAGTACCCATTCCGAATTTCAATTACGAAATTTGAAACAATTCCGGTGAATAATGATGCTAAAATCATCAAAAAATATAGTGGCTATACGAAGATCCATTACGAACGTTATATACAAAAGCTTAAATAATTCTGTCAAAAATTGTCGCAAAAATCATCAAAATATCGAATATTAGAAGGTACCGTACTAGTCGATAATTGTTACCTTCAAGCCTGTCACTAAATGGGCCTTTTAAGTCCTTTTTTCAATAAAAGTCACAAACTCCTTTTAAACGGGACCGTAGCAAGTCAGAATATTCTAGAGAAATATTAGTCATAAAATTCTACTATAAGTCCCGGAATACAATAAAACCCTAAATCTTACTCAAACACCAGGAATTTATAAATATTAAAAAATTCGTACTTCATATGAGTCTATGCAAAATTCTGCTACAAATAACCATTTTCGAACAATGACGTCAAAGACAAAAATATTCCTCATCAAATTTCATTATAAGTCCCCAAAGAAAAGAAATCTCTATTTTCGTTATATAACAAAAAAATATCGACATCAATGTTCACAAAAAACAAAAAACGATAATATACCCTTGGATCAATTTTTGCTCGCACTTTTTTCGAGTTGACGCCTGAAAATAACATAAAACATCATTTCAGACAAAAAACATCAAAAGAGGATATATTCCACATAAAATTTTACAATAAGTCTCGGAATAAACTATATATCTAGATATAATAGTTTTCAAGAAAATTATATTTAAAAAAAATAATATATTAAAAGTGGAAACATTTTTGTAATGCTTTTTTTAGTCCTTTTCGATTTTATTCCCAAAATTAACTTAAACTTCATTTTAGGTAGAAAGTATTAAAAGAGGAAATATTCTACACTAAATTTCACTATAAGTCTCGGAATAAACTATATATCTAAGTATAATAGTTTTTTACAAAATTACATTCGAAATTAATATATTAAAAATGGAAACATTCCCAATTTTTGTAGTAGATTTTTTAGTCTTTTTCGATTTTATTCATACAATTAAGTTAAATTTCATTTTAGGTAAAAAGTATTAAAAGAGGAAGTATTCTACACAAAATTTTACTATAAGTCTCGGAATAAACTATATATCTAGATATAATAATTTTCAAGAAAATTATATTCAAAAAAATTAATATATTAAAAGTGGAAACATTTTTTAATGCATTTTTTAGTCCTTTTCGATTTTATTCCTAAAATTAATTTAAACTTCATTTTAGGTAGAAAGTATTAAAAGAGAAAATATTCTACACTAAATTTTACTATAAGTCTCGGAATAAACTATACATATGGATATGATAGTTTTTAAGAAAATTGAAATCCAAATCAACATATTTAAAGTGGAAATATTTCCTATTTTCGTGGATTTTTCTTTGGTCTATTTGCGAAGTGATGCATGAAAGTAGAATAAAACATCATTATAGACAGAATATGTCAAAAGAGGTCATCTTCTACTCCAAATTTCACTACAAGTTTCAGAATAAACTGTATATCTAGGTATAATAGTTTTTAAGAAAATTGCATTTGAAATGCATATATTAAAATTGGAAATTATATGTTTATTTTTTGACTGTTAACTTTAGACGACTCTAATTTGAGTCAAAATCTCCCATTAAACTATTTTTTTGGAGGAAATTGTTAAAGGAAAAAATATTTTAAATCGAATTTTATTACGAGTCTCCCAAGAAAAAAGCTATAAACTTAATATGTATCGTTTAAATAAGGAACACAATATTTAGATATATATTTTGCAACACTTACCACAGAGCTTTAAGTTTATGCAAAATTCTCCCACGTATCACAATGTTAGAAGGTTGACATCAAAGACAAATTTATTCTTCATAAAATTTCACTATAAATCCCCAAAGAAAAGAAATTTATATTTGTTTTATATTTCATGGAAGTATTTGTTTCAATTTTGCCAAAAAAGGAATATTTTCTATTTTTTATGGATTTTTCCTCGACCGTTTTTCGAGTTGATGGATGAAAGTAGCATAAAACTTCATTTTAGACAAAAGGTATCAAAAGAAGATATATTCTACACGAAGTCCCACTAAAAGTTTCAGAATAAACCATATTCCTAGGCGTAATGGTTTTCATAGAAATTACATTTGAAATTTATTTATTAAAAGTGAAAATTATAGATTATGTTTTTGACTGTTAACTTTAGGCGTCTCTAATTAGAGGCAAAATCTCCCATAAAAACTATTTTTTTTTTTTTGGGGAAAGTGTCAAAGGAAGTAATGTTCTAGATCAAAATTCATTATGACTCTCCGAAGAAAAGAAATGTCTAAAATGAATATATTCCACAAAAATATCAACAATTTTTTAATCATATTCAACAATTTTATTTTTGACAATTTTAGCACAATCTCCGAATTCGCTGCAAATTTTCTTTAAATGCAGCAGCCAATTTGGGTAATCAAAATTCCAAGGGGGTTCGACAGTATTCGACGAAAATCCCAAAAGAGTTTTGGGTCCTCAGTCCCAAATGTTTTAGGACCTTTATATATAGCCTTAACATATCCAAACGGTCACCAACATTTTTAGCAATATTCCGCAGAGCTTTAAAATTATGTAATACACATAAATAAAATTATTAAAAAAAAAACTTAAAAAATGGATGACGTCGGACCACTTTTTGGGGTGGCATCTATGAATGAGTTACGGAATGTAGCAAGCAAGTTTAATATAGAGAAGAAATTGTTTCTACAAAAAAAAATTGTATACCCTCCACCATAGTTGGAGGGTATATTAATTTTGCCATTCCGTTTGTAACACCTCGAAATATACTTTTTAGACCCCACAAAGTATATATATTCCTGATCAGCATAAAATTCTATGTCGATTTAGCGATGTTCGTCCGTCTGTGGAAATCACTGTAGCTTCCGAACAAAATGAAGTAGGTTGAAAAAATTTTGCTCAAATGTGTATTATGTCTGCAGGACTTTTGGTATTGAAAATGTAGGTCCACGTTTTGGTATAGCCCCCATATAAAAGCAGCTCCCTTTTTTCGGTATCTTGGTAATTTAAGCGACATTATTCAATGGAAATGTTTCAAATTTGGTAAATGAAGTTCGTAATGGGTACTACAGCCTGTGACAGAAAATTGTCAGTGCAGATCCACGTCTTCGTATAGCCCCCATATAACGGTACCTCCCGATATTCGGTATTTTGATGATTTTATCGACATTATTCACCGGAATTGTTTTAAATTTAGTGTTTGAAGTTCCTAATAAATACTACAGCCTAAGACAGAAAATTGCCTGTGCAGGTTTACGTCTTCGCATAGCCCCCATATAACGGTACCTCCCGATATTCGGTATTTTGATGATTTTAGCGACATTATTCACCGGAATTGTTTCAAATATGGTGTTTAACGTTCGTAACGGATACTACAGCCTATGACAGAAAATTGCCTGTGCAGGCCACGTCTTCGTACAGCCCCCATATAACGGTACCTCCCGATATTCGGCATTTTAATGTTTTTAGCGACATTGTTCACCGGAATTGTTTCAAATTTCGTATTTGAAGTTCGTAATGGATACTACAGCCTATGACAGAAAATTGTCAGTGCAGGTTCACGCCTTCATGTAGCCCCCATATAACGGTACCTCCCGATATTCGATATTTTGATGATTTTATCGATATTATTCACCGGAATTATTTCAAATTGGGTACTTGAAGTTCGTAATGAATACTACAGCCTAAGACAGAAAATTGTCTTTGCAGGTTCACATCTTCGGTATTTTGATGATTTTATCGACATTATTCACCGAATTTTTTTTATTCAAGTTTCGCATTTGAATATTGTAATGGCTTATTACAAAAGTTGCCTATGCATGTCCAAGTCGTCGTATAGACTCTAATATAAGGGGTACATTTGGTATTTTTAAGATTTTAACAGAATTTTTAACGGATTTTAATTTTTTGAATATTACCAAAATCGTTCCAAATGGTGAAGGGGTATTCGGCCCGGGCGAACTTACAACTTTTTTACTTGTTTTTCAAAAATAAGTAAACCCTCCAAGACATTATATTGTTAGGAGACTAACTACTGACCTCAGTAATATTTCCATTCCAGGACTTTTAAATCGCATTTCAAGAAATCATTTCTAAACTCTCCATTACCCAAAAAAAATATTTTTTCACATTTATATAATTCAAACATATCTTGTTACTTATTAACTCACTGTTGCAGAGGATCCTTAAATCACATATTTTCATAAATTTCTGTACTTCTCCACATAAATTCACCCATTTTTCTGTTTTTAATTCATTAAAACAAAAACAAAAAATGTTTTCATTTCCCCCTTTTCCTGTGTGTAATTTTTAATTTCTATTCCTTTTGTTTCTTTTCTTATATTCTATACAACAACAAAAAAATCTATGTCTTTCTCTTCTTCAATATTTAAAAAAAAAATCAACAAAAACAACAAACTAAACTCTCCAAAAAAACTCTCCACACATATAAAACACATCAAATGTTCAACTAAATGTTTATCTTTGTAACAAAAAAAAACAACACTTAACTGTAACTGTATGTATAACAATAACAATAAAAACATTCACTCAATGCACTCACCATGCAACATGCAACCACTCACATACATATTTACACAACTCTACACCTTGCACACATCACATACCGTAAAATGCAACACTATTTTTTACACACACAAAAAAAATTTAAAAAAAAAACTCAAAATTATTGTCGGGGAAAACGTTTTGAAATTTGCTTTATATTTTTCGTATATAATAAAATAATTGAATTCAATTCGATTTTTATTAATTTCCTTTATTTTAATTCTTTTTCATTTCATATATAAACAAAAAAATACATTTAATTTTTTTCTTTGGTTTGGTCTGCACACTTGGCGCTACTTTAATTGACTTTTGGTTTGAAAATTCAACAACACAAATCGACTCTCAACCTGACAACTGAACCTTCAACAACTACCAACCAAACAACCAACAACAACTACATCAACAACATTTATGGTTTTGTATATAACTATGGTTTTATGGTTTAATAACTTAATTTTTTGTAAACCTTTTTTATTATTTTTTAAAATTATCCTTTATTTTTGAAAAAAAAAAACAATGCACACAATGTTATTTTTTGTAATTTCCCTTTATTTTTTGGCAATTCCATTTTTGTTGCTAAAATTTCCTTTTTGTAATTTGATCAATTGAAAACATAATTTGTGTGTGGTTCGGGTTTATTTCGTAAAGGACGCTCGGGCATGTCACCCACTTTAGATCACTCAAGACGCTCTTCAATTTCAGAGTCTTCAGCAATCTCAGGTTTCTCTTCGGCCAGCACAAAAACCTACGTTCACGAAGCCTCCACACTGGTACTGGAGACCATTGAAAATGGCATTAAGAGGTAAGCGGGAAAGATAGGAAAGGACATAAGGGATCGAATGCAGTTCAGAAATGCAATTAATTCAATTTATATCGAGTATCTACTTATTTGCTTATTTTCTCTTTACTCTCTCCCCTAGACACTTCATTGTGCCTCTCAATATCGCACAACGTCCCAGATGGCGCCGCAAGGGAACCAAATTGCACATATACAATGATCACACCTTTATTGCCAAGCATTTAAGCGGGTAAGTTTCAAATTAGATTTTATTTAAAAAAAAATTATGGCTAGTTTACACATCATATGAGAGTCATATGTCAAGATAGATTTCCACTGCTCATGTATAGGCAGAGCATAGATTTGCTCGTTTTCACTCGGAAGAGAAACATACTCGCGAGCGTAATTGCTGGAAGAGTGGAAACATAGACAAATTAGGTATAGACCAGCGGTGCTCAAAACCGTGTTCTAGAACATGAAGAGAAAAAAGATATAATTTAAGGGAAAATTAAAATTCTGTTTTTCTTTATATTTTACGGTTCTATTTAATTGTTTTTAAACACGAATGTTTGCCAAAATAATTTATAAAGCAAATGGATAAAAAATATTTGTATAAATAATGACTTAACACTGTTTTGTTCTTGATTTAAATAAGCAAAGAGAAATTTGACTGAAAAGAGATATTTCTTCTTGAGCACCCCTGGTATAGACTAAAAAGTTGTCTCATCTGTTATCTCTGAAAAAAGTGCTTCAATAGATGTCGTTCATGCTGTGAGAGAGGTTAAGTAGAATCACTCAATTCTCTCACTATACAAAATATTGAATATTTTTATGATTCTTTATTATTTATCAATTAAAAACGAAACAGTGACTTTGTTTACTTTTACATTATCCAAATATGTCGTGAAATATAAAAATATAGAACTTAAATAGCAGAAAAATGAATAAATTGTTTTCGAAGTCGAGTGACTTCACTAGCCCTGAGTGACTTGACTGGCCCAAGATCAACAATAGTGACATCTACCGGAAGGGGACATTTTAAAACTTTTTAGTCTATACCTTTATTTGTCTATGGTGGAAATTTTATATGGGCACACTTGTGAAAAATTAGAGTGGGAGGCGATTCGCTCGAATTGGAGTGAGAGTTTGCTTTAAGAGTAAAACTGTGTGTAAGAGAGAACAGTGGAAGATGAAGCTGGTGGATATTGTGTACAAAAGCAACAACAAGGGGTACGACGACATCTATCATCCTCTCAAAAGATCTTGTGTTAATAGAAATATTGCGATGTGTGAAGCGTGAAAAGAATCGGACGCTTATTTCGTGGGGAGGCTCTAGAAAAAGTAGATCGATATATGTTATCTTCATAGCAGATCTTGTGTTAATAGAAATATTGGGATGTGTGAGAGATTCGGAAGTTTATTTCGCATTTTATGAGAGTTACAATTATTTAAAATTCTAAACTGTTGTGGGGGAGGTATCAGAAGGTGTTGTCCGATATTTACCATCTTTATAACAAATCTTGTTTTGTTTGATATATTGAGGTGTACAAAGTCTGAATGGAATCAAATGTTAATTTCCCGTTTCATGAGCTTCATAGATATTCAAAATGTTGACCCTTTGTGGGGGAGGTGCCGGAAGAAGTGGACCGATATATCTCATCTTCACAGCAGATATTGTGTTAGTAGAAAAAATGGGATGTGTGAAATTTGAAGAAAACCAGATGTTTAATTCGGGTTTTATGATATTTTTGGTTATTCAAAACTTCGAGCCTTTGTGGGGGTGGTATCAGAAGAGGTTGTCCGATCTCTACTATCTTTATAACAGATCTTGCGTTGATGGAAATATTGAGTAATACCAAGTCTGAATGGAATCGGTTGTAATTTCGAGTTTTATGAGCTTTAAAGATACTCAAAATTTTGACCCTTTGTGGGAGAGGTACCAGAGGGTGTTGACCGATATATTTCATCTTCATGCCAGACCTTGGGTTAATAAAAATATTGTGATGTGTGTAATTTGAAGACAATCGGACGTTTACATCACATTTTAAAAGGGTTATAATTGTTCAAAATGTTGACCCTTTGCGTGGGGATGAACTGCCGAATTTGGTTTTTTCCGATGAGAAAACATTCCAGCAGTTTTATTTGCCAAAAAGGTCAGCAGAAAATTAGCAGCTTCGGTTGGCCACCAGAACTCAAGCGCCAATCATGGTGATGGTGTGGGCCGCCATAACAGCCGAAGGTCGCTGTCCGTGTCCGTGTATTAAAGCCTTCGGCGCGCAAATTTTTTCGCCGCAGACCTTGGACATTCCAACAGGACTCAACACCATCGCACTCAGCTTGAGCCACCCAAGAATGGTTACAAAATGAGGTTCCTCGCTTCATTTCCAGCGCACAATGGCCACCAAAATCTCGGGATACCAATCCGTTAGACTTTTGTGTCTGGAGTATTTTGGAAAGCAAGGTTGGCACTAGAAAATACCAAAGTGTCGATCACCTCAAGCAAGCGCTTCACTGGGAATGGGCCAAAATACCACGGAACAACATTCGGTCAGCGGGTGACGGTTTCATTGACCGTCTGAATGCCATAATTCGTGCCAAAGGTGAACAATTCGAACAAATCTAAACATATTCTAAAATTTTATGCTATTTCCGATATTTTTTGCTTCCATTCAATAAAATTTTAAAATCAAAATGTAAAAATTATTGCGTTTGACTTTGTTGCAATTTTTTATCTCACCCTGTATATATGAGACACACAGGTACATCTTAATCGATTTTCACCAAATTTGATACACTTCCGTCCGTGCCAAAATCCTATATCTATATATCCAAATCTGATCCGATCTCGATAAAATTTGGCAAAGATGTTTCTGAGGTATATTTGATATATCTCCCAGAATATCGTTGTTATAGGGTGCATCTAAAACAATATATGAATAATATATTTGGGATATACCTGAACCGATTTCCACCAAATTTGACATATTTGCTTCTAGGCTCAATTTAGTCGTATGTGCCAAATCCCATGTGCCTATTTGAACTATTATTACACATTGGGTGCACAATAAAAGGCAAATCGGACGACGATATATATCCAAAGGGGCTTGCCCTTGGGCCAAACAAATCGGACAATAAATGCGATACGTACTTTGTTTATAAGAACGGGCATGTAAAAATCGGCTCATAATGTGATTCTACGCAAAGGAACTGTAGGCAATGACATAGAAGTATAAAAATGGGACAAGGCAGAGTCAAAATATGGCAACCCTGTAAAAATGCCTCTGTTGTTATGATATCATAACAACATAGTTTCCAATGTTAACTGATTTAAACCGCTAAGGCACTATGCAAATTTTGGGAAAGGTCTATGGAATATCATTTTGAAATCAAATTTTGGGATTTTTCGAATTTTTATTTGTTATTCGTTTTCGTAATTTTGGTTTTTATATTAACATGCAGTTGCATGACCTGTTATTATATGTATTGTAGACACAAACCATTTGCTCAAAATGCATTTTGTCTAGTCTTTTTTTAGGTCTTTGCTATAGGTGTATCTCGCGTCCTTCTCCATGTTACAAACAAATGGATAAAGACATAATACCACATAATACCTGACCACAGTGTGGTGTTGGGTATAAAAATGCAAAAAGATAGGAAATCCGTAAGGACGACCACCCTGCGTCAGTCTCCGATATTGACATTTTGAATTGTTAGCTATCAAAAAATGTTTAGTTAAGATTTCGGAAGGCATGAATTCAGACATATTTTTCAATGTTCTCATTTCTGTGTGGTGGGGGATTTCCAAAATTTGACCCGGCCTGTTTTAACTGAACATTGGTGATATGCTCATAATACAATCACAGGATTTGTATTACAACTACAATTGGTACAAAAATAATAATAAAATCTACGATTTATATCATTAATTTGTTGCATAGTTTTTAAATCATGCTTAATCCAAATTTCTTTATAATTTTTCTTCCTTTCTTTAAATATTTCCAGCGGTGGCTTGCAATGCTCGATATGTATGAAATCGATACCCCGACGACCTGGAAAACAGGGTTATGAGTGTCGTGACTGTCAGCTGATTTGTCACAAACAATGTCATGTCCGTGCACCCCAAGCCTGTCCCAATCCAACTGTACTCTCAATGGAATTGTAAGTATTTGTTGTTTCATTTTCCCATTTCAATTTAGAAAAAAATACAACTACATTTCTTTTAATTTAATACAAACGTATTATATATTGTATTAATATTTTACTTTTTTCTTTCTTTTCATTTATTAAAAAAAAAATTATATTAAATTTAAAAAACTTATTAATTTTGTGTCTTGCCAAAAAACATAAAACAAATAAACAACTAAAGGGCCTCGTTTCCGGTACTCACAGAAAATGATTTACATTTAGTTAATATATCCAAATAAATAATTTTTCAGTTAATTATTAGTTTCCAAAAAAACCAAAAAAAAAATATTTTAACTACTCTTCTTCTATTTGTACACTTTGGTACAACTGTAATCACCATATCATAAATAAAATATGTACTTAATATAATTATTTATTTTTTTAGTTTTGGAGAGATTTTAATGTAGAAACATCCATTTTTTTCTAATTTTGTCTTTTGTTTGCTTTTATGTGTATTGAATTCGTTTTTGCTAAGTATTATAAAAATAGTTATATTTTGAGATTATGAATTTCGAAAAAAAGAAATTGCAAACAATAGTTTCCACAAAGCTTTCTATTTACGCTTTTTTAGTTGGCTTGAGAATGCTAGTTTGAAACTCAATAAAATTTGAATTATGTGTGTCTCAGATATATATCAATTAAATGCAAAATATTTTCTTATATTCGATTCAAAAATGTCTAAAACAATGATTTGTATAACTAAATCATGGCAGAGGAATACAGGTAGATGCATCAACGCTTGTGAGCTTTGAAATGTCAAAAAAAAATTAAATGTTGTTTTCAAATATAAGTAGATTTTTATATGTTTTCTTGTACTACGTCAGTCGGAGGCAAATTTAATTTTACAAATTTAACTAATTTTTCATTCAACATTTTCAATTCCAAAATTGGTTTGACAGTTCATTGTCCCAGCAGCTGTGTCGACGTGTCTACCTATATTTTCTACCATGAACTAAATTGAGAGTGAGTGTATAAGCGTAACTGAGAATTCACCATCAAAAATGGCTGACGAAAAGAGAGATAAAAAATATGCCTTTACCACGTACCGCTAACGTACGATTTTGTGTAGTTGTGCACATCTATGAACTAAAGGAATACGATATAGGGATACGTAGATCGACTTTCGACCACTTGATTAATGGACTTTTGGTGTTGATATTGTCGACTTTTGCCTGAGGTAAAAATCACAAAGTCGGCATTTTGTAATCGATTTTGAGATCAAAGGTTTTCAGTCGATTTTTTATACCATCCACCATAAATTGTATAGAGGGTACATTAAGTTCGTCATTTAATCACGTTAGAGTCAAAACGAATAAAAATGGGAAGCAACAATTTTGCACAGATCAGTCTTTTGGCTGCAGGCAGGTCAAGTTCGAAGATCGGTCCACGATATCGTATAGCGGTACGCCCCGATTTTCTGTATTTTGATGATTGTAGCCAAATTTTTCAATGAAATTGTCTGAAAATACACAATCTTTCTGTGTATTTTACCCCCTGAAGGAGTATTGTTTATATAAGACCACGATATCGTATATTCCCCATAAAAGAGTACCTCCATATTCGGTATTTTGATGATCTTAGCGACATCACCGAAATTGTTTCAAATTTCATATTTAGAGTTCGTAATGGGAACTACAGTCTATGACAAAATGCAGGTCCAGGTCTTCGTATTGCCCACATACAGGGTGAGATAAATAATTTAAACATTTTTTTTTTAAATTTTATTGACTAAAAGCAAAAAATGTCGGAAATGGCATCAAATTTTAGAATAAGTTTAGATTTGGTGTGGCGTGCAGAATGCGATGGTGCTTAGTCCTGTTGGAATGTCCAAGGTCTGCGGCCAAAATGTTTGCGTGCCCAAGGCTTTTATACGCCCTCCAGAATATTTTCGCGATAATATTCGGCATTTATTCTGATGCCATGGTCGATTAATATCAGCGTAGAACAACAATCGGCTGTTATGGCGGCCCACACCAACACCATGGCCGGCACTTGAGTTCTGGTGCCCAACCGAAGGTGCACATTTTCAGCTGATCTCTTTGGCAAGTAAAAACGATCAGTTTATTTGTTTACAAACGGCTAGACAACAAATGTTTTCTCATCGGATTCACTTCGGCAGTTCACCACTTTCGGCCAAGCGAAGCAACTCTTTAGCTCTTTTGAGTCTATTTTCGTTCTGTTCTGTTCCAGTTCTTGCACTTTCTGGAATCTCAATGGCTTTACCCCAAGCTCATTTTTCAATATTTGCCGAATGGAATATTGCGATAAGTTCAGCCCACGAGCCGTTTTTCGACGGGGGTTTCGATCAAGTAGCTTCTTTACTTTTCGAACCATTTCTGCTGGAGTGCTCCAACGATAGCCACTTGTGGTTTTCCCGCCAAATATCAAGAAATCACACTATCACGCTTGAATTCCATTACGAATAACTTTTTTTCTGGAAAATTCTCACCAAAATGCTTTTGTACGCTTGTAAATGATATAATGAGCTGTCACTGGAATAATTTTAACAGCTGTCGGATGATTGGCTTAGAAATGACAGCAGTCTGAATTTGGTTGCAGTTTTTCCATCTCATCCTGTACATAAAGCGTTTCCTCTCAGATAACAAATTGTGTGAAGATCCTCAAAGTATGCTATAAAAATGCTAAATATATATGTAAAAAACTTAGCTTTACATATGACTCTAACATTATGTGTATCCTAGCCTTTAAATGTTTGAATTGATATCAAAATCTGAGACACACATCAATAAATAATTTTTTTTTTCATTGTTAAAGCTATTCCTCTCTATATTTTTACTCCAGCTTTTTAATACACTTTTCTGACTACTTCAAGTTTTCAATGTCATTAAAAAAAAAAGCTTCAACTATTTTTTGTCAATATTTTGCAATTTACACAAACATATCATTCAAGTCATGATAAATCGTGTGTCTTTTCTTTATATTTCTCTTCCTGTCTCTCCCTAAATTCCCGGTGATAACCATAATTTTATTCTATAGGATGAATGGATTCAATAAAATCCAGTAAAGTAATATTTTTAAACAAACTCCAATCTGTTTTTTAAAGCTTTTTCAAATATTTTTGTAATTTTTTTCCTCTTAATGAAATTCATATACAACTTTTTCTAACTATCTACGAGTATCGCCAAATCAAACGAAGAATTACAATTGAGATTAAAAAAACAAGACTTAGGTAAAAAAATATATATTTCAACTTGATGTAGAAAATTATGAACGGGGCAAATGGGTAAGCGGTGTTTGTTTTGCATGTATACGTGTGTTTTTTTGAAAATGCCCTACATGTTAATGTTTTCCCAGTTGCCTTTCTGCGTTTTTTGCTACGTTTTTCCAATGAAAATAACAGCATGCGAAATGAATACAATTAATTTAACAATAATTTTTTTTTCATACGAAATTTTGCTGAAGCGAGAAAGTCATTGCTAAGAGAAAGTTTACACTTTGAATATCACAGTATTGGACCAAAGGTTTATAACTCCACTAAATATAGGTTATGTGTCTACCAATGGTATGCAGACCATCATGTGTCGTCCATGCCAAACTGTAAACACATGTCAAAATTACAGCTCTATCCTCACGAAATTTAACATGAGACCAGGGTTAGAGACTAAGCAAATTTCTTTCATTTCAAGAATTGTATAAAGCAAATTTATAAATATAATTTATAGAATGGATATCAAGTCGATGATATTTACCCTCAACCAAGGCCTATGTCAGTCACAATGATTACTTTGATAACAATTTGACAAAAAACATAGCAGTATTTGCACTATTGTTATTACCTTTCATGGAATCTCAAATCAATTTTTTGACAGCAAACATTGTTGTCAGATGCACTTACAAGCCGACCATATATGGGTCATGGTACAAATCCTAGAAGCTCTGTGCCAGAACCTGCAAAGATTTCAGATATATTCCTTCGCCCAATTTGTAAGTAGTACAAATACCTTTCGAATAATTATAGTACACATTCCAAATTCCCCCTCTTAATCAAAGACAACAAAAGAGATGTCCACATAAAATTTCAGGATTTCAGCTCTATTCTTTCTCCCAATATCAAATTTAGTACTATTTGGTGCTTTTCGAACAAATATTTATTTTCGAAAACAACCCATATCTCAATTTCCGACACCAACAGAGACATCAATATTAAATTTCAGGATTTCAGTTCTATTCCTTCACCCTACACAAAATTTAGTACCACTTAATACTTTTCGAACAATTACGGTACACATTTCCAAAACCACCTCCATATCTCAATTTCCGACACTAACAGAGACATCTATATCAAATGTCGGGCTTCCAGCTCTATTCCCTCATCCAATACAACTTAGTACTTTTCGAATAAGTGTAATACACATTTACAAACCTCCGCCAAATTTTAAACACAGATACCATCAGTAATTTAAATATCAGATTTCAGAAATTTATCTCTATCACTTCCCGCAATACCTAATATTGTACCATTCGTTAATTTACGTACAATTATAGTGCACACAGCGACCCTAATAACAATTTTCAGATTTCAAGCACGACTTGTTCACCCCATACAAATTGTACCAGATATTGTACCGTTTAGTACACATAAGTACGAATTTCCAAAACTTCCTACATACTCCACTCCTACACTCCAAACTTGATCTTATTTCCAATTTTCAGGATACCAGCTCTATTGGTTCATCCAAATTGTACCAAATTTAGTACTATTCAGTACACTTAAGTACAAATTTTCATAACTTCTTACATCATATTTCCAAATTTCAGGATTCCGAACCTAATGGTTTTCCCATACATATAATTGTACTAAATTATGTACCATTTAGTAAAAATAAGTACGAATTTCCAAAACTAAATGCATTTCTCAGTCCTAGAATGCAATGGTAATTTTATTTCTAAATTCCAGAATTCCATCTCTATCGGTTCACCAAAATAGAAATTGTACCAAATTTAGTACTTTTTGTACACATTTCGAAAACTTCTTCCATATCCCAACCCTACAGTCCTCCTGTAAAGTTAATGTCAAATTTCAGAATTCCAGCTCCATGCGTTCTTCCAAATTCAAATTGTACTAAATTTAGTACCGTTTAGTACTTTTCGTATACATGAGTGCACACGTCCAAAACTACCTCCTTACGTCGAATATACTCCTCAACCTTGATTCCCATTCCCGAATTCAAGCCGTTCACAAGATACGAAATGGTACCAAAAGTAGTACATTTAAGAACTTTTCGTACACGAATATTGCGAATTTCCAAAAACCCTTTGGTACATCTATCATACTATCAACCCTGATATAGCTCCTCAAATACAAAGGGTACCATATTTAGGGTACATTTTACTAGTTTTCGTACCGTTCTTGTACGAATTTCCAAAAACCCAGCCTTATCTCACCCCAAGAGTGACCCTCAGCCAAAACTTCAAGATTTCTAGCTTCAGCCGTTTCGTCTGGGTGTTGATGAATCATTAAGTCAGTCAATTACTTTACTTTTTTGTTAAAATAGATTTTTCGGCGGAATTATTTCAAATTTGGTATCTTGACTTTATAAATTTATTAACGGAATTACTTGAAGTTTGGAATTTGAAGTTTGCAATAGACCTTAGTAATGTGGACATCCACTCTGTCAGATAATAGGCTATTGAGGTCACCCGACTATATGATCTTTTTTAGGTTTTTTTTTCTTTTGAAGAATTTTTGCAATTTCCTTCTACATAGTGAAGGGTATTAAAAGTTCGGCCTGGCCGAAGTTAGCTGTTTTTTACTTGTCAAATTTAACTTTATTGAAAACAAGCTCCGCCTTCTAAGTTCTACCATTGCACATACTTTCTACTACCGAAAATTGGAAATTTGTGTGCCATAAATGCGTAAAACAGGAAAATTCTGAATCTCGGGAGTAGGTCGTTGAATAAAATAAACATATTATTGAAATGCCTGCGGGAATGTGGGGATCATGAAGTTGGGCGTTAGTTGCACGATCTTCTTCTTTTATAATTTTCATTCAGCACCTTACCCTACACCATAGTATGGAGGGTATATTATATTTGTCATTCTGTTTGTAACACCTCGAAATATACATTTTAGACCTCACAAAGTATATATATTCTTGATCAGCATATAATTCTATGTCGATTTAGCTATGTCCGACCGTCTTTCTGTCTGTGAAAATTACTCTAGCTTCCGAACGAAATGAAGTAAATTGATAAAATTTTATTCAAATGAATATTATGTCTGCAGGACTTTTGGCATTGGAAAGGGGCCATGTAGGTCCACGTTTTGGTATAGCCTCCATATAATGGTACTTCTCTATTTTCGGTATTATCATGATTTTAGCGACGTTATTTACTTTAATCGTTTCAAATTTGGTATTTGAAGTTCGAAATGGATACTACCGCCTAAGACAGAAAATTGTCTGCGCAGGTTCACGTCTTCGTATATCCCCCATATAACTGTACCTCCCGATATTCGGTATTTCGATTATTTTAGGGTCATTATTCAACGGAATTGTTTCAAATTTGGTATTTGAAGTTCGTAATGGATACTACAGCCTAAGACAGAAAATTGTCTGTGCAGGTCCATGTCTTCGTATACCTCCATATAACAGTACCTCGCGATATCCGGTATTTTGATCATTTTAGCGACATTTTTCACCGAAATTAGTAATTGAAGTTGGTAATAAATACTACAGCCTAAGGCAACATTTTGGGTCCACATTTTGGTATAGTCTCCATATAACATATATTGATGATTTTGGCTGAAAAAAATTGAAAATTATTCATATAAGTATGTTTGTTGACCTTTTTACTAATGACCATGGTAGAAGAATATAAGTAGATATATCAACACTTGGGAACATTCATATGTCAAAATTTTTAAAATGCTTTTTTCAAAAATAATTAGATTTTTATATATTTTCTTATACGACGTCAATCGGAGATTGGTATGATATACATTTTTCAACAAATTTTTACAAATTTGAATAATTTTTCATTCAAAATCTTTAATTGTTAAAACATGTATATCATAAGAACCTCTGATTGGCGTCGTGTAAGAAAACAGGTAAAAATCTAAAAAAAAAAAAAAAAACATTTTAAAATTTTTGACATATCAATGTTCCCAGGTTTTGACGTGTCTACCTATATTCTTCTACCATGTTGCCCATTTATGCCTATAAGGCATTATTTCCATTGATAAAAAACGGCAATATTAGGGATGTGTAAACCTTCTCTTATGCCATGAACAATTTGTTACCAAATATACCCCCAGTTAAAAAATAGATTTTAAGCATATGTGTGTACATACATAAGTTCTGATTTGGCAAATAATATTAAAGCTAGACCTTAATATAAAGTTTAATAATAATTTTTGTATTTCTTTGTTATTTTATTGAATACAATTTTTATATTTATGTTTTTTTTTTAATATAAAATTTATTATAAAAAAATTGTATATAAAATGTTGAATCGTTCAATTTATCTGTGAGTTTAACGAATCCCTCTGTTCAATTTTTTTCTAACTCTACAATGTTATGAATTTTATACGCTTCAAAGTTTCAAAGATTTCTGCTTGGCTTCACTTTATAAATAGTTCTCCAACAATTTATAATGTTTTTTTTTCTTCTCAAAGTAATTTTCAAAACATCGAAACAATAAATCAATGTTCTATATTCTTCAAAAATTTGAAATGGAAACATTAATTCAACTTTTTTTATTGCTGAAAATTTTAAATGCTTATCTTTCACATTTTGGCTGTTTATTTTTCTTAACACATTTCGCATATTGTTTTTGTTTATGCTTTGTTTTGCCAGCAGTTTGTTCTACTCAAAAAAAAAAATATTAAATAAATTTTTAATATTTTTTATTTATTTATTTTACAGATCAAAACTTAATTCAGCAGCTGCAGATCGAAGCATTAGAAAATTATGAGCAGACAAAAAGCGGAGATAAAACTTAAAACGAAATAATTTAAACCGTTTTTTTATAGAAAACACACACACTCTCTCTCTCTCTCTCCTACTCCTACTACTCTCTCTACATAGAATAATAATACCCCCTCTCTCTAATTTTTCTACAAATTAAGTAAACTAAAATAAAAGAAAAGAAAACAAGAAAAATCATAAAATATAAATAATAGGTAAATATTTAAACAAATTGAACTCCAAATACAAATTTAAAAAAATAAAAAAAAACTAAAAAAAACCGATCGCACATTTGCAATTGAAACTGAACCAAGTGAAAGAAAAAATTAATTAAACAACAAATTTTTAATAACAATACTAAAGTCTACTATTTTGTTTTGTAAATGTAAAGAAAAAAATAAACGTAAAATAAATTGTGTTTTTAGTTGTTAAGTCATTTATTACCTTTTTTTAAAACTACAAAGATATAAACATTGAACAAATAAATATAAAACATTGCAATATTTTTTTTCCTTTTATACTTTTTTTTTATTATTTATGTTATGTTTTTTGTATTTCCTTATATCGATACAGTTGTAATCTCATTTATTTTTTTGTATGTATATTTTACTGTAATACTTATTTCAAATCAAATATTATCTTACAATAAATGTGTTTTTTTTTACAAACGAATAACCAAGATGGAATTGTTGATATTCGAAATAAACCAATACTTAACTATAATTTGTATGTATATTTTTTGTTGTTTTGGCAATAAAATAAAGAAAGTGAAAAAAAAAAAAAAACAGAACTAACTAAAATAAATGTTTTATTTGAAATTTAATTATGCAGAGAATACGTCAATCTGGGCGATTATATTATGAGTTCACTAGAGTAAACCCCCAAAGCTTTTGGAATACTCAGGGCTAGTTTTAAAATAGCAACCTTAACCAAAAACAGGTTAAAAAACAGATTAGCTCCCGGGCCGGACTTTTAATACCCTTCACCATTTAGAAGGAACTTGAAAAATTTCAAAAAATTAAATGGGGGCCTTTCGAAGACGTGGATCTGCTTACGATTTTTTTTTTTTGTCATAGGCTGTAGTACCCATTACGAACTTCAAATACGAAATTTGAAACAATTCCACTGGATAATGTTGCTAAAATCGTTAAAGTATCGAATATATCGGGAAGTACCTTTATATGGGGGATATACGATAACGTGAACCTGCATGCGAATTTTTTTGTCATAGTCTGTAGTACCCATTACGAATACGAAATTTATTACATTTCCGGTGAATAATGTCCCAAAACTCATTTAAATACCGAATATCGGGAGGTACCATTATATGGGAGCTATACGAAGACTTCGACCTGCATACGAAAATTTTTGCCAAAGATTGTAGTACGCATTAGAACCTTCCAATACGAAATTTGAAACGATTCCGGTGAATAATGTTGCTGAAATCATCATAAAACCAACTATCGGCAGATACCGTTATATGGGGGCTATACGAAGTCGTGGACTTAAATACAAACATTTTTGTCATAGGCTGTAGTATCTATTATAAACTTTAAATACCAAATTTGAAGCAATTCCGGTGAATAGTGTCGCTAAAATAATCAAAATATCAAAAAAATGGGGCAATAAGAATACGTGAACCTGCACAGACAATCTTCTGTCATAGGCTGTAGTATTCACTTCAAATTTCAAATACCAAATTTGAAACAATTCCGGTGAATAATGTCGCTAAAATCATCAAAATACCGAATATTGGGAGGTACCGCTATATGAGGGCTATAAGAAGACGTGGTCCTGTACTGACAATTTTCTGTCTTAGGCTGTAGTATCTATTATGAACTTCAAATACCAAATTTGAAACAATTCCGGTGAACAATGTCGTTAAAATCATGAAAACGCCGATTACGGGCGGTACCGTTATATGGGGGCTATACGAAGACGTGGACCTGCGTATAAAAATTTCCTGTCTTAGGCTGGAGTATCTATTATGAACTTCAAATACCAAATTTGAAACAATTCCGGTGAACAATGTCGTTAAAATTATGAAAATGGCGATTATCGGGAGGTACCGTTATATGGGGGCTATACGAAAAAGAGGACCTGCGTACAAAAATTTTTCGCATAGGCTGTAATACCCATTACGAACTTTAAATATGAAATAATTCCGGTAAATAATGTCGCTAAAATCATGAAAACAACGAATATCGGGAGGTACCATTATGTGTGGGCTACACGAAAACGTGGACCGACATAGCTCATTTACGAACTTAAGCTGTCTACTGGTAAACTATGTATGTATGCAAAATTTTAGCCTCCTATCTCAATTCGTTCGAAAAATAGAGTTATTACAACAGACAGACATCGCTAGATCGTCTTAGAATTTTACGCTGATCCAGAATATATATACTTTGTAGGGTCTATTATGAATATTTCGAGGAGTTACAAACGGAATGACAAAGCTAATATACCCTCCATAGTATGGTGGAGGGTATAACAAAGGGTCGCCAACTGTGTAATGTCTAAAATATAGCTCCGAAATTCGATAGATGCTTCGATTCATCTCCATTTTTTCAAAATTGCAGAGTCGACATATTTTTAATCACATTGCCACTAAAATAATAATTGGTATCGTAAGAATCCAACCGACAAAAACATAACAAATTATGTAAAAACGGCCATAAACATCCATAAGACAAATATAATTTCTCATACAAATTTGTGTTGTTGACATCCACGCCTTGTGTATTTGGTATGGTAGTCAGCGCCATCTTGCAATTCAATTGTATCTTATTTACTATACTACATACAACTAGAGGGCTCTGTAGACATAGTATTATATATTCTCGTTATTACACAACACAATACCGATTTAGTGTATTCTCAAACCACACGCCAATGACGTTACTACACCGTGGCGTTATTACAATGAATACTTCTTTTGGCATGTGAAAAAACGTGGTGTTTTATTGCGCAATCAAGGGACTTCAATTGTTTTATAAAAGTTGTAAAAAAGAGTAAAGAGCATGGTACAATAAGGAGGTAGAACAGCTTCGTATAACTACAGAAATGCAGCCCTGAGGCTACGACCGCTTCCTGTCAGATACATTCAAAATTATATACAACAAGTTATTTTCATTTGTTTTCATATTATCCCTCATTTTTTTAAATGAGTTAATAGCGCGAAGATTTAATTAAATGCCTGGATTTTCTCTCAGAAATATGATACAAATTGTTCAACCTTTCGATTTCATGGCCAAACTGGTTAATGTCCTTAACGCGCGAACCGCAATGTACGTGTCTTCTAATCATTGGTTTTGGAAATATTTTGTTTTAATTTTTCAAAACAACAAATACATACACAAAATTGGCAGAAGTCGGACACACTTAGAAAAAAAATTGTAATCAGCTGGTAGCTCTACCTTACCTTTTTATTGTACCATGGTAAAGAGCAAACATAGAGGTAGATGTATCAGCACTTGTGAACACCATATATCGACAATTGCAAAAATGTTGCGCGAAATTATGATTATTTTTATACCCTCAGCCATATGGCTACTGTGGCACTGAGGGTTTGATACGGTCAAAACGTGCCTCATCGAAATAACGATTTTAGAACCTAGTTATCTTTGAACCAAATCCTTTTCAGGACATTTGAAGTCGATCTAGCGATGATCGTCCGTCCGTCTGTCTGGCTGGCTGGTGCTCATGATAACACTCGAAGGTGTTACCCGATTTTATCCAAAATTGGTAAATCGTAATATTATTGTCAAACATAGATCGAGTTCGGAGATATCGGTCCACTTCTTCTGGTACCTCCCCACAAAATGTCGAAATTTTCAAAAACAAAAAAAAATAAATGTTTTACTGCACTGAAAGAGAAAGGATAAGCCGATTTCGCTCTAACTTTGCAAATTCTAATATTTGCATAATTTCTAGGTGTGGTGAGAAAATGGACAATATCGGTCCACTCCATCAAGTACCTGCCCTACACAGGGTCAAAAAAATAACTCTTATAAAATCTGATGTGATCACATTACACATATCACAATATTTTCATCAACCCACGATCGAGATCGGACCATTCCTTCTGGTACCTCCCACACAAGTTTTGAATAACAAAACTATCAGAAAATCCGAAACAACAATAACAAAACTATAATAAAATCCGAAAATGCGAAACAAGTCAGCGATTCTTTAAAACTTGTTATATCTAAATGTTTTTTCACAACCAGAAAACTGGGATGAATAAAATGGACCACAGACAATTTTCTGTCTTAGGCTGAAGTATCCATTACGAACTTCAAATACCAAATTTGAAACAATTCCGGTGAATAATGTCGCTAAAATCATCAAAATACCGAATATCGGGAGGTACCGTTATATGGGGGCTATACGAAAACGTGGACCTACATGACCCATTTTCTATACCAAAATTCCTGTAGTTATAATATACATTTGAGTAAAATTTTATCACGGTACTGTAACGCGTTTGGAAGATAGAGTAATTTCCACACACGGGAAGACGGACGGAAATCGCTGAATCGACATAGAATTTTATGCTGATCAAGAATGTATACACTTTGTGCGGTCTAAAATGTATATTTCGAGGTGTTACAAACGGAATGACAATCGTAATATACCATCCATACTGTGGTCGGGGGTATAAAAAACCTTTAGAATAACCGACCGAAAAATGTTGACAAAATCTTCGCAATACCTGCTATATGGATTCTGTATAAAACGAAATCTTACGCTGAAAAAATTCCTGCAATGAAATCAACGCCAATTCGCCTGAAAATTTGGAATGACAATCTTCTATCAGTTTCATAGAAGACCAGCTCGATATTGTCGATCGCCATACTTGACCTATCTAACAAAATTCAATCATTCCATTTTCAAGCCTTGCATGACTTATGAGCCTAATATTTTATTTGGTTATATTCTTACATTACTTTTGTACACTCCAAATGGCATAAAAAAAAAATATTTGCTTGGCAATAAATCTAAATTTCTTGTCAGCTGTACGCTTATATTTAAGGAAGAACAACCAAATTCCAATTTGACAATTTGTAGACATCAAATAAAAATTTTTAATCGAGATTACCAAGATGACAAGCAGCTGATGATCAATTAGACAAATTAAAGGGACAATCATATTTCTGGTATTGTATGACAAATGACAACGCGAACGAATGACGTATGTATGCATTTCCATTTATTTAATAAATAAAATAAAGTTAGGAATTTTTGGTTTATTTTTCATTAAGAATTACTCTCCAATTTTTCCATAATCCTATCAATTGCCATCAATTAATTTGACAACTGCGAACATCCCCTAAACACATCAATAATCGATTAACGCTAACGATAAGTGATGCCCATACATTGTAATCAAGAACGAGAGAGAATGACAGAACAATGAAAATGCTGCCAAGCCATAGTAGCTGATTTTCATTCGCTGTCAAAAATTCGACATACACGGACGTGACGTCGTTTGTGATTTTTCTGTCTTGAAGAGAATACAACAAACGTTGTGTGTACGGCAATAGTAGAAAATTCATTTATTTTGTTAAAGCAAAATTCAAGAATTCACAAAGAAATTAAAACGAAATCGATTAACAAGAAGCCACAATGTAAAAAAAATGTGCGTGGATTGAAATTTCCTTATTAGAAAAAAGAGAATATTTAAAACGGGGCAAAGTCGTCGTCGTAGTCGTTGTTGTTAGTTCAGCCGTCGTCGTCGTCATCGTCGTAGTTGTGTGTTTCTTTTTTGCTGCCTATTGTGTTTGGGTGTGTGTTTGGCTGAATTTTCATAATTTTTTAATTTGACGTCGCCCTTGTTTTTTTGTTTGCTGCTGCTGTTTGTTGTTCTTATTGTGTGCTATGTTGCTGCTGCTTCTCTTCCTTTACAAATTAGTTATTATTTTTTGTTAATTATTTTTTTTCTCGTTCGTTGTGTGGATGATAGGAGGCAAAATGTTGTGAAGTTTGTGTCGGTGTGAAATTGTACTTGGCAAGAATAATTTATCGAGTTATCAAATAATGAAAGAAATTTTAAGTGGAGACCTAATAAAGAAATAATACACAGAAATTTAACGTCCCCAACAAAACCAGCAGCAAGCATTAACAGAAAAAAAAAACATAGAAATGAAGAAAATAATAAAATAATAATTGTTCGATGATGAGTGGCGTGTCGTCCGCAAATATATTGCTGCTGCTTCTTTGTGTATGTGGTTGTGTTCTGGTGGCTCAAGACACGCACGCCCCATTGTTAACCCCCTTTTTATTATTTAATAACTAAAGTGTCAAAAAATAATTAACCAGAATTATTGTTTAATACGAAAAAAAAAACAAAGGCATCGAGTGAGGTGTAAAATTCTCCAAATGTTTTAACAATTTAAAGCAGACAAATCAGATTTGTGCAATATGTGGCAAGAGAAACCGTGGTGAAATTGAAATTGCAATGTGTCAAGGCAAAGGCTGTGAAAACAACAACAACAACAACACAAAAAACCTCCAGCAATTTGCCACTCTTCTTACAAAGAGATGCAATAACAACAACAATAATAATAAATGTAACACAACAACTATGTATTTCGATAAAATTACAACGTTGAAGGTGTTTTGTTTTTGCCACATTCTCTTTTTCTCACAACATGCTCTCTCGCTCTCGTGACTCTCATTGTGTGTACGGTTTTTTTGGAGAAAATTATTACTACTGTCATTGTCTTCTTGTCTCTGCTGAAGTGTCAAATTGGAATAAAGGCAGCAGCAGCTGAGTTCAATTGGCTAACAGACCACTTGTTTTGCCTGTTTCGGTGCAAAAAAGGAAAAACAAAAGATAAAATGAAAGAAGAACAAAAAACGGTGAAAGAAGAAGAAGAAATAAAACAAAGCAAATATTAAAGGAAATATTTGATTACACTTCTTTGGAGCAAAAAAATCTTGTTTTCTTTTGATTCATTTTGTGTGAATGTGTGGAGTTTGGTGCTTTCCTAGGCTGCTGCTGCAGAGTTCTTTGAGTTGTATTTGATCTCTTAACTGGAGATGATTATTGTTGTGCTGACGCCCAGAAAAGAAATAATAAAAACAGCAACAACAATAACAACCAGCTAATTGTGAATATTGCAAAAAGAAATACAATGCAAAAGAATAAACGTCAACGAGTTTAACCAAAAATAAACACAATCCGCAACCACTTGTCTTTCAGTGAGACAGACAAACAGAACACACACCGGACGACAGTGTTTGTCAACCGCAACAACGTCTGCGTCAACGTTGACGTGCACGTTTTTGCGCTGGCAGCGGCAAACGACGCTAAATAGTTGTTGTCTGTCCCCCCGTCCCCAACGTCGCCAGTGCAACAACAACTCTTTAGCGTTCTAATGTGAATGAAACTGATGTTTGTGTTGTTCTTTGTTCTTTGAGTTTTTTTATTTTTGCATATTATTTGTCATCTAAAAAGACGCAGAAAATGAAAATAATAATAACAAATTTAAATAAACAATTTTCTTCCATTTCTCTCTAGGAACCCCAAGCTTTTTCCCCATTTAAACGATAACAAAAACATAAAATTATGCAATTTAAGAATATAATAAACGTTTCGTGTTTCGATGATAAAAATTAGCCACTTAATAATAAAAAATACATAATTATCAATTACGCCATTACAAAAAAGCAAAACAAAAATAAATTAAAAAAATCAAAATAGAAAAAAATTAAAACAAAACAAAAATTCCATCATCACTGTGTCTTTGTTTGGAGTGACTGTTAAAGCAAATACAAAAAAAAAAAATATTTATAAAAAAATAACAAATTCAATTTAAAACTTCAATTTTTTATCTGTTGGAAAATATTTCTCCCTGAATTTCCAACGTCGAAAAAATTTGTCTTAAAAGTGTATCGTGTAACATTTGTGTCGTCGCTTTGTCAAGTCCACCATCATCAACTTTAAAACTCACCAAAAATGGCGGGTCATCACAATGCAAATCTTCTAAGTTCGGATATATCACGCCGCAATCCCCAGGATGAATACGAGCTCATCCAGAAAATTGGTTCGGGCACATATGGCGATGTTTATAAGGTAAGTTCTTATATTTAAAAATAATTATTAATAATAAAAATTACGAATGTAGTTCTAGAATTATAGTCCATTAAAAATGTAACGTATTTACAGTTTGGTTTCTTAAAATGTATCGTAATTTTACTGAATAATTATCTTAACTGATGGGACTCATTTCCTACCTACATCAACAAGCAACATTGTCGCATCTGGGGCTCGAAAAATTGTTGAGATACCTCTCCATCCTCAATGTGCGACTTTTTGGTGGGGTGCAGGTGGGCTCTAAGTGTCACACGTTCAACAAAAGGATTGCTCCTTTACAGGAAAGTTTCCAAACGTTTTATTTCTCTATCGAGATATCTTGACTTTACACCTTGCGACTTCTTTCATTGGAAACACGAGAATAACAAGTGGCCAAATTCTCGCATTGGATTTCGAAACAAGTTACGATCGAAATTGAAACTGGAAATTTGAAGGAGCCTCAATGGAAATTTTCAATTTCAAAATAAATTCCTTCTATTTTTTCGATATCGAATGAGGAATATTATCCCAAGACTTACGCCAACAGCCTAATGGCGATTTATGGCTTCAATGGTGGAATTCGTGTGGCTATTGAGGGATAATGGAAATTTTTGGAAAGGATATGGCTCTGAATGCGTGCTGGTGGTGACATTGTTTTTCATTATTAACGGCAAATCCTCAACTTTATTATGAAATGGCCTTTTGTGGATGTTGGTGGCACGTTTAGAGAAAATATAGAGGGATCCATGTGAAGTACCGATTGTAGAAATCACCCCTATTTTCCTTATCTTCTAGGATTTGGTTCCTTGAAAGCTATTTTCCAATGGTCAAGCCACTCGCTTCTCCCTATAGAGCTTTCCACTGTTTGATAAACGATATTTTGAGTTTTCCGACATTAATCTTTTAAAACCGTGGATTCAAATGATTTTGATTTATTAGGATCGTTTCTTAAAAGGGCGTCCCAGATACAAATTGGGATTTTTTCCTGGTTCTTCAAACGTTTTCCAGTAGAAGGTCTAGTGTATAAGCACTGTGTTCTTCCCCAAACCTCGGAATGTGTGGTTCTGTTTCTGCTCATATCAGAATAGAAAGCATTGTGAATAACCGTTCTTAAATTTGTAAAGGAGGTAATGGAAGAGACCGGCTGAGAATCACAGGGCGTCCACAATGGCTTTCGGTATTTTGGGGGAAGGGGGTTGGGTGCCAGAAGGTCTGTGATGGGAGAGAAGTCAAGCCCCATACTAATAAAAGGGCTAGACCAAAATGATCCTTAAGGTATGGCCTAGCTATGAGCGAAGCTCTGTTAGAATGCAGCCGGTGCCTAATTGCAAAACTGCTACGTAACTCATAGTCGCTAAGCATAATCGTCCGATGTCAGGGAGTTCCAATTTAGTAAGAGCCCAATAATTGTGTTCTGTGAAATTAGTGTCGCGATTAAATTACCTCATTAGTCTTAGGACCACAAGTTCACGGGCTTAGTTTATACTCCGCCTTTATTCCTTTGTGGCAGTGGTAAGTCGGACCTTTAGACAAAATCGAGAACTTGGTAGCGAATGAATTATTGGGAATATGAGCGACGAAGTTGATATTGATACCTAGTGTCTTGGTGCATTGTGTCACTTCAATTTGGTTCTTTCCTGAAAACACTCCAAAGTCTCCAACGAAGGGAAGATTTGTATTTAACTGGACCAAAAACCACAAGCTCCTGGTTGTTGTAATAGCGGTAATATTTGCTGGCCATCGAATTATTTAAATCTGGTTCTTCTTCCAAATCTAGATTTGAAAATATAATTAAGCAAGGCTACTTTACGTCTTAGGACAACTTCTGCTTTGATCGCAGAGGATTCAAGAACTTTAAGAGTCGCTCAAATACCCGACTAGATAATCACCATTTTAACATCTGAGAATCTAGTATGTTCATTAATTCTAATGTGAAGCAACAGCGGGACAGCAATCCAGCTATTAGGCCAACAGGCCCCTGTTACTACATTCGTCTTGAATCAGTTTTTGTGCACTTCTCAAGGGTTTTTGTTAATATTTGCAAAAATTTCTCCACAACTGAGAGTTCAAATCCGAAGATCAAATCCGAAATTAATACCTTTTTTCAGCTTCGAAATCGAATTTTGTCCTCCAGGGGAAAACATCTGGGACATCGATGTTTTATGGCACATTTTGCTCATAAAATGTCGTTATTTACAATTTCTATATCCTCCAACATGAAGGGTGTACCAATAATGGCATTCCCTTTGTAGCTGTTCGAAGTAACGAGTTTAGACAATACAAAAGCATACAATTTTAACAGTATCCGTTCCTCTAGGACATGACTCGTCTATACGTCAGTGGAAATCACTCTATCTCCGAATGGATATATTTTGCATATAGGTCCACGTTTTGGTAAAACCTACAATACAGGGTGAGATAAAAAAAATGCAACAAAGTCACACGCCATAATTTTTAAATATTTTTTTTTACATTTTATTAAATGAAAGCAAATAAAGTCGGAAATGGCATCAAATTTTCGAATAAGTTTAGATTTGTTCGAATTATGGCCTTCAAACGGCCAACGAAACCGTCACACGCTACCCGAATGTTGCTCTGCGATATTTTGCCCCATTCCCGGCAAAGCGCTTGCTTGAGGTGATTGACACTGGTATTTTTAGTGCCAACGTTGCTTTCCAAAATACTTCAGACACATTTATCGGCATTTATTCTGATGCCACGGTCGATTAATACGAGCGGAGAGCGACTATGAGCTCTTATGGCGGACCACATATTGGCATTTATTCTGATGCCACGGTCGATTAATACGAGCGGAGAGTGACCATCAGCTGTTATGGCGGACCACACCATCACCATAGCCGGCGCTTGAGTTCTGGTGGTCAACGGAAGGTGCACATTTTCAGCTGACCTCTTTGGCCATCATTTTGTTTGTTTTCTCATCGGAGAAAGCCAAATTCGGCAGTTCACCACTTTCGGCCAAGCGAAGCAACACTTTAGCTCTTCAAAGTCTATTTTCTTTCTGTTGCGGTGTAAGTTCTTGCACTTTTTGGAATTTTAATGGCTTTACCCCGAGCTCATTTTTTGATATTTGCGGAATGGAATATTGCGATGTGTTCAGCTCACGAACCATTCTTCGGCCACTGCGACGGGTTTCGATCAAGTCGCTTTTTTACTTTTCGAAACATTTCTGCTGATGTTGCTGTTTTCTTCTCTCCACTTCTTTGACTTCGGGCTACACTACCAGTATCAGGTTAACGGGCGATGGTAACAGACACAAACGATTTATTCACATTTAAATGCAGGAGTGTTCCTTGTGGTTTTCCAGCCAAATATAAAGAAGTCACACTATCACGCTTGAATTCCATTACGAATAACTTTTTTTCTAGAAAATTCTCACCAAAATGAGCTGTCACTGGAATAATTTGAACCAAAAACGTTTTTTCCTTTCGATATTTGGTATTTTGATTTTTTATTAAACATTTTTTAAGGGAAGTGTTTTTAATTTTGTATTTGGAGTTTGGCACTTTCAATGACAGAAATTTCTCTACCGGTTTCTCGGTTCGCATTTTCCTATTCTAATATTCCAAATTTCGATACTTCTAGCTATACATTTCATGGGTATTTTTGAAATTTGGTATTGTAAGTTCTGAAACGATATTTACCACATGATTCTGCTTCATATGTTTACATTTTCAAATAGTGAAGGGTAAGGGTAAAACAACATTGCAATCTACAGCTTCTTTGTTAAAATACTCAATATACTACCCCTCCAAATTAAAAAAAAAACTTTCGTATTCATTTTATCATCCCTTATATCAGAAAAAAATTATGCATTTCATTTGATTTCAACAATTAACCCCTAACAAAATCATTGAAACATCCACAAACTGCCTCATCTGTATTTTCTGCGTTTTGTGAAAAATTGAAATATTCCAAAAAATCCCGACATTCCCAATGTATTAATTCCAAAAGCATTGCCTCACATTTCGACAAGCACACCAGCCGCCAGCAGCAACCAAACAAACTTGACAACAGCAGCAGCAGCAACAACAACACCCCAGTTCGCATTCGAATCAGAAAACAAAAAAAATTGTTTACAATTCATTCAAGCACATTCTTCATTAGTAAACATTTAAATGTGTATGTAGAGTATATCTGAGACGAATTCTTTTCCTTATTTCCTAATACAAAGAAGAAAAAAAAAAAAAAAAAAACAAAAACAACTACAAAACAAAAATCAAAAACCTAGACATGCTCAGAACTCTTAATGACGTATCAAAATTGAGAAATTAATAACAAATCCAAATGGGGTTTTCAACTGCATTCAAAGTCTCCCTAACGCAGCAATTTGAAAAGATGCACACGCTGTATGTGGAGCGGAGAAAAATGAACAATAAGAAATGTGAGTGAACAATCGACATAATTGAAAACAAAGAAAGGAAAAAAGAATTTAGAGGAAAAACATTTACAAAACAAAATAAATTGGAATATTATCATAAACTTGTGTGTATGTTGAAAAAAAGAGGCAAATTTGCAGAGTAGATATTCGTAGAGAAGCACAATTCGTTACAAGATCATTATCACGCCGCTATGCAAGGGGTTTTTAAATTAAGAAAACATACATTGGCTTAAAGATAGTCAGTTTGGAAAAATTAAAATGTTACGCATATTTCAAAAACTGTTAAGGTAGTATAAACAAATCTGCAATATAAAAGGCAATTTTTAAAATATGTTTTAGAAAAAGCATAACAAAGTGGAGAAAGATGTAAATGTTTATAAGTGCGGTTGTAAGATTTAGAAGATTTTCCAAAAGAATTTTAGTTTTATGTAATTCTTTTGTTCCTCTTCTATTGAGCTTACGATCTCGTCACTTGGGTAAAAAATGTTTTTTGTCATAGAAGTTATTTTTTTAAATAACTTCTGGGGAGAATATCCCAGACAAGAAACAAGGGAACTGATGAGGATTGGTGGCTCTTTCCGAAACCTAGGTATTCCCTGCC